TCTTCCCCACAAGTTATAAGAGAGAGAGCAGGTCCAGAAGATCTAATATTAATTGATCATCTTCACCAGAAGTTATCATAGAGAGAGCAGGGTCCAGAAGATCTAATATTAATTGATCATCTTCACCAGAAGTTATCATAGAGAGAGCAGAGTCCAGAAGATCTAATATTAATTGATCATCTTCACCAGAAGTTATCATAGAGAGAGCAGGGTCCAGAAGATCTAATATTAATTGATCATCTTCACCAGAAGTTATTATAGAGAGAGGAGGGTCCAGAGAATCTTGTCTAGCATTGATAATGTCTAAACTTACATACACAACTTGAGAACTGTTATTAAGTATAATGCTGTTTCTCTGTTAATTCATTTGTTTTTCGATATCATTTATATAAGTTTACTAAACCTTCGTGTTTCCTATTTAAATAGTATTTTTTTGCTGACAAATATCGTTAGGCATATTTATTGTGACAACTTCTATAATCGTATAAAAACATAATTAAAGTCTAATTTTCCATGTTGCTTCTGAATTTTCGAATCGAGATTGTCTTCTAGATCAGCAAGAACAAATTAAATCTACGTATCTGTGTAGAATATTTATTTTTCTCAAAGAAAACAACCAGTTCTCTCACATGTAAGATGCTAATAGGTTTTGACTTGGAGGACTGGAGAGTCAAGCTAGAATATGATGGAAACGAAAGATCACGCACAGCATTCCTTTAATATCACAGAAATAATTTCGTCGTTAAATTTAACCGTACCCATGTTTTCGTCTTTTTCTCATAATACTTATAAATAGAGCACAGTATCGCTCTCGAAAATATAACATTTCACGCCAGTGACTCTAGAATAACAAATACGATGACATAATATAACATCACATTAGTGACACTAGAATAATACAAGTGAAATTAAAATATAATAACATCACACTAGTGACACTAGAATAATACATGTGAAAGTAAAATGCAACATTACACTAGTGACACTAGAATAATAAACATGAAAGTAAAATATAAAATTACACTAGTGACACTGGAATAATACAAGTAAAAGTAAAATACAACATTACACTAGTGACACTAGAATAATAAACATGAAAGTAAAATATAACATTACACTAGTGACACTGGAATAATAAACATGAAAGTAAAATGTAACATCACACTAGTGACACTAGAATAATACAAGTGAAAGTAAAATACAACATTACATAGTGACACTAGAATAATAAACATGAAAGTAAAATATAAAATTACACTAGTGACACTGGAATAATACAAGTAAAAGTAAAATACAACATTACACTAGTGACACTAGAATAATAAACATGAAAGTAAAATATAACATTACACTAGTGACACTGGAATAATAAACATGAAAGTAAAATGTAACATCACGCTAGTGACACTAAAATGATACAAGTGAAAATAAAGTGTAACATCACACTAGAATGATAAACATAAAAGTAAAATATAACATGACACAAGAATAATAAACATGAAAGTAAAATATAACATCACACTAAAATAAAGTATAACACCTTTTACTCTGTTAATATTAGAATAATACACACGACAATAAAATACAACATAAATCACACGTAGACATTAGAATAATACAAAAGAAAATAAAACATTTCCTCCCAATGTGACATTATCTAATTAATAAAACATTTCCTATATGTTCCTTCCTACTCAGACTTTTATCTATCGCCATCTAGTAGTAGGTATTGGTACTTAGCGTGTAATTATATTTTTAACTAAGTGCAATACATATGTATATATAAATACGTATCTTTAACCGATTGATTAGCTAGAAAACGTAACTTTACCAGAAAACAAAATTCGAAAGTCAGAAAGGAAACAGCCTCATCGAGTGGGTTTATCTGTTACTTTAACTATATCTATTTCCGTTTCTATACTTTACTGGTGATGAAATAAATATTTTTTGTCCCTTTAAGCTCGTATACATATATCTGTTTGTTGTGATATTTTGTTTCTTGGTACTATATGTCATATACAACTTGTGTGAAAGGGCCTTATTTCTGTCTTAATTAACCCTACTACAATGAGTGTGAAAGTACCTTATTTCAGTTATATTTAATATTACTACAATTTGTGTATAGTTCTAATGTGTGTTTTATGTTTTTTTTTATTTCGGAAGAATTTATTTCTAAGCTGATTTTATGAATCTGTTTTAAAACTTTATTTCTATACATGAAAGCATCAAGTGAATTTGGATATAACTTATTAATATATTTATGTAAAGAGGAATCAACATCATGTTTATTCAGAATCAAGAATTGTCTTTTATTCCCATCTTTTCATTACATTTTTGTTTTCTCTTATGTTCCTTGAATTATTTCCAGTATTTTTAATAAGAAACTCATTTTTTTACTATATAGTAGAAGTTTACCAATCCCATGAAATCAGTTGAAAGTTACTAAGTTTTCTTTCTCTCGTAAGCTTAGTAATAGTTAAGTTAGACTGGCATGTTATGCGCACGTGGACTAGATCAGAAACTCCTAAAGTTGAGATATAAACTCTCCTTAATTTTGAATTACTGAACAGATGGAAGTGAGCTAGCCAGCATCTATCCGCCACAAGCTGGATTGATTTTCATGTTTTGTAAAGTTGAAATAGCGAAATAGGTTTAGCAGCATGACGTGTCAAACTTTGGACCCTTCGACCCGTAACCATGCATGCTAAAAACTAGTCCAGATTCAGGCAAAGTTTCAAGGATTTGTCTTCCAGTTGTTTTCGGTGAATATAACACAGTGTGATTAAGTTAGGTTAATGATCTTACACCGTAAATTTGTATATTGGTAAGATACGATATTTTCCTAGTAACCTGAATAATAAACTGACTGAGTTAGAAACTGAAAGAAACATTATAACCCTTATTTTCACTTCCATAAAAGAGTTGTTGTATTTTCCATTAGAGTTTTGAAAATCTTGCACATAACTTCCTTTACCAATACATAATTAAAATATAATTATCATGTATATGATATTGAACAGGGTTGTTTAAACATTTCTTTAACAAC